TCTATAACTTTATATTACTGTAATTTGTTTTATTTAAAAATACCTGTAAAAATTTCACATAATTTTTCAAATGATATTAATAAACGTACAAAATTTCTATCAGTATATTTTTATTCAAATTATATAATAACTAGCTGTTACCCGCGACTTCGTCAGCGGAGGTTTTGCAAGCAAACCCCATTTACATCCAATATTTCAATAACCATAGTAATTGTTATATAACACCTACCGCTGAAGAGAATTGCCGAAAATCAAACGAACTATTTTCAATTTGATCAATTTTCTGAAACGTTTACAATCGTTCTATAATCGAACCAATACGCAANTTATATATTTAGATTTTTAAAAGTTCCTATTCTATATATCTTAATTATTATAAAAGTTATAATTTTGTAAATTAAAAATTTCTGCTAAAAAAATAAAATTACAATTTTTAAATTACAAAATGAAACTTTTAATTTGACTAATCAATTGAATTAAAATATTTGTTAGCATTTCTTGTAGATGTAAGAAATTTTTTCTTGTAAATGGAGGTCTTATCTAATCTTACACAATAGAAGCAAGCCTTTATGTAATATACAAATAATATTTGAATTAAAATTATATATTTTTTCTATCATTATAAATATATTTGTAAAGTAATAAATTACCTAAAATTAATTTATTGTTTTGTTCAATAGACTATTTAATGTTGAAGATGCATTAAACGAAATGTAACAAAATTTACTTCGAAGTATAAGATTCAAATTTCAGAAATTAGATAATTTTTTTTTTCAATTAATTTAAATCTACTAACATAAATCCTAGTAAATCGGTGGCAAATTTTCAAGACCAAATGTTCATAACAAAAAAAAATATTGCGAAATACAACTTGTTAGGAAGCTTGATAACAATAAACATAAAGAAATTAATAAATAGTTCAATACTTTGTGATGTCTGTAGCATTTTGAGTATTATATGATCATCAAAACTTACATAATCTTTACATAACTTTAGGATAATTAAAAAATTCCAGCAACGAGTTGCGTAACTTTCCTTGCAATCAAGTTAAAATTGTGTGTGGCGTTAACTGTTATGAAATTTTGTTAAAATAAATTGTTATTACTTTTATTATAAAACGACAAAAAGCTCTTATTTTTGAGAGTAGAGATGAGTTTTGTTTTAAAAAAAAAATTGTAGGTGCATATAACGAGTAAAATCATTCAGTCCGATTCCACTCCAGATATAACACACGTACTGTAGCCCTCCTCCATCTCCCCTTGACCTTTCACCACCAAAATTTAATAGCATTAATCTTCCCAATACGTAGACCTTTCTGAAAATTTTCAGCAGTTCAAAATTTTCCCCTGGAAAAAGTTAGATAGATGACCGGCATGACTATTCTAACAGGAAAAGTATGATGTACAGGGCAAGTCACTACTAATTTGAGGTCGAGAGCATATATTTTAAATTAAATGAATTAAAATAATTAAAAAGTATTTTAATTTTTTTTAATTTAAAATGATTAAAAATTGCATCCAGGCATTGTGACGATATCACAATAAATAATTGCTCGTTAAATTTATAAACTTAATCATTATTTCGATCATTAAATTAACAAAATTTTAAACTAAAGTTCTCCTTTGTTAATATGAAATATATGAACAAATCCAAATGAAGTGTTTTTTTTCCATTTTTAGAACAGAGAATAGTTTAATTTTAAAATAATTTCGCCAATAAATCTATATATCTCGAGAGAGGTAAATCGAAACAGTTCTTAATGATCGGTTGACACTTTGAACTCGATCACATTTGCTTTCTCCTTCCACAACTCTATTAAGGTCAATAGAATACATTAGTCTCAATCTTAAGTGACAAAATTATTCAAACGAAAGTTTCACTTGTGAGAATATAAAAGATGCACAGGAAGCACTAAATCATTCAAATTCTCTTTGAACCTTCAACTTTCACTGTAAACTAGAACAATCTTATAAAGACGAATTTCCATTAAATAATCATTATCAATAGTCTTAAACTTATATTAATTTAAGAACTAAATTCACTTTTGATAAATACTTCTTTAGTAAAAAAATTCAAATTGTAAATTTATGAAGAGATAATCCAATAGAATACTCAACAGTTTATATGCATTCAACATATTGAAAATTTATTTTTCATTCGATTTATTCAAAAATTGGGTTAATTAGAACAATAGCTTAAAGGTCGTACTTCTCGTAAAGTGATATCATATCAATAAACTTTCACTAAGACATTTTATTGCCATCAAAAAATTTACTGTATGAAAAAAATAGGAAAAGTTGACATAGAAAAAGTTATAATTTGATCGGAAAACAAACATTTTCATTAAAAGTAATTTTAGTGCCCATTTTATCTTATAAAGAATGACTATTAGCACTACAGACAATGCAATATATTTCTTTAACTTGATTGGTTGTGATCTCTCTCTCATCACTTAACTAGCCAATAAAATTACATATAATTTTTATTCAAAATTTAATTTATATTTTAAATTTTAAAAAATAAATAAACCTATTTTTTTAGTAATTTTAAGATAAAAAAAATAATAATATTTTTAAGCAATTATAAATAAAATTATTATTATTATTACTACAAAATGCAAATTAAATGGTAATTTTTATTTTTATTAATCACTTCACCCGAAAACAATATATTTTTCGGAATTAAGAGAAGTACAGCAGCAAAGAAGAGAAATGAGAGATGAATAGAGTGGAAGGAGGAGATCCAGCGTTCTTCTCGACCGACATATTATATAAACTATCCCTATCTTCCATAGGTATAGGCAAACTCGGCCTCCACACCTCCTACTGATTAATATGTAAATACTAGAAATTCTCCCGTCAAGCATGACGGAATATTTTTATGAGAAAGTAGACATCGAAGGATTGAGAAAAACTTCAAGTCGGACTTCACGGCCTTCGGGGGTCTCGGTTCTTCTTATTTTTTTACATGTAGAATTTAATGAAGTAAGTTTAAAATACCCCATTTGCCAAAATATTTAAAATGTAACCGAAGGAAAATGTCCTTAAGCGTCACTGCAACGTAAATGCGATCATCGATCCGAAATCGATAAAACGTTTATTTTATAGCAAATATATTCGAAAAATAAATAGCCTGTACTTTCCGTCAGAACATAAAACCAATATAACCAAAATTTCATCTGGATCGGACAAAAGTTGCAGGAGTTGTAAGGAATTCACACACATACACAGACCACGGCTTTTATATTAGTAACGGCTCCGCGTGTATACTTTAAACATCTTTCAATACAATATTATGTAAAATTAGAATTAAGAAAAATCGTAATATTGAAAAAGTAAATACAGCAAGTAAAATTGTTTCATTTATTCCAAGTATTTATTAAGTTATAAATAAAAAAAATACACATTGAAGTAAAGTGACAAATAAAAGTTTATTTATTTATTATACACATATAATGTAAAGCCAAAACGGTCGATGATTACACCCCCGAAAAGTAAAAAATAAAAAAAAAAAGGTAAAAGGCAAAAATTGGATTGTCGTTATATCCGAAGATGTCGTGATCAACTACAGAACAAAACTTATATGAAATATAATAAGAGGTACAGTTTATATTGTAGTAAATGAGAGAGGAAAAAGCACTAAACTTCCAAACAGAGACGTAAACATTAGCNTTATTATAATTTTTATTTACAACAATTAATCTATATTTATTATTTAAGATTTATCAATTATATATCTATATATAGGCCTAATTGTAATTTTATTATATATTTTTAAACTGTTTTCTTTAATAAAATTTATTTTTAGAAATTAATTTTATTTTTTAAAAAAATAAATATTATAAATGTGCATATTATAAGATAGTCTTCTTTATAGACTATAGAAAATGAAAAATAAATAGGATTTCCAACCCAATAATTCATCATCTTTTATCATATCTTAATCCAACTTATCTAAGTGAACTTCTTAAACGATAACTATTAAATCCGATTAAATTTATCTATTATCTTTAATTGTAAATCCAATATCGATCATTGAATCGATTCACTTTTAATCTTTTATCTATAATTGTATACACTTTAAAAAAGTTTTTTTTTTTTAAATCCTAAACAACATCAATAAGAAAAGTTTTCAGTGGATAATCTGATTGGAAATAATTTTATTTTCTAAATTCTTAAAAGCTATAGAGATTATTCAATTTTTGAAGGAAAACAATATCTTAAATTGTTTGAAATTTCCTTTAAAATGATTTATTCTTTTAAAGTGTGTATATGAATAAGATTGTTAGAACTATACGCTTAATTTGTTTAATAGTGGAAAAATATATAGATATATTTGTTTATATATATTTTATTTATAATCTAATTAAATTTATTTTTAAACTGTTAATTATTTGGTTTATATACGATATAGATTTTTTGGTATTCTTAATAATGTGAAAAATATAGAAAACATTTTTATATGCTATCGTTTATCTATAAAATGTGATCGATAACTCAAAGTCATAGAAAGAGTAGAAACCTAAATGTCAGATAATTGCCATTCTCTTAAAATATTAAGCAATTATTTTGTCATAGTTATAAAATTTGTCAACAGATGACGTTACAAAGATTTAGAACCGTAGTACTTCTTCCTGTTTGTTTAGTTTTTTTCTATTAAAAATATATAACTTATGTTTGATAGCTTGTTAAACAGAATGCATATGAAAGAATTTTTCTTTAGAAATTGAACTATTCTTTATTTACTTTTTCATATAACTTAAAAAATAATTACTTATTAAATTGTCATAAAATTACAGACTTTAATTTGTAGACTAAATGACCGGGAAAATTTATTTCAATAGAAGGAAATTGATTCCATTATGCTTAAATAACAGTTAAAATTTTAAGGAACTAAGGAACAATAAATTGTACTTCTAAAATGTTTATTATTTTAAAATATTTAATCATTTTTATTAAATTAATAATAATTTAAAAAACATTAATTTATATTATTTGCAGAGTGATTCTGTTATATTAATTCTGACAAAAAGACATTCTACCATTAAGAAAACGTTGCGAGAAGAGTTTCAACTCTCGACTTCTCTCTCGAGAAAAGCTGCAGTCGCATCTTCTAGCAAGCAATATGAGAATTACAGTAGAACACAGTTGCTGTTAAGGTTAATGGGACGAGGTTAGGAAGAAAATGAAGCCGGAATGGTATTGTTATCGTTTAAGAAAAGCACAACAATTGCATTGGAGGTCGATTCGTTTATACTACGAATTATTAAATGGCACCCTGTTTTAATCATTATTTTTTTTTGTTTATTCTTATTATATAATATTTTTAAAAAATCATCTTAAAAATTTGCATAAATTTGTTTTTAAATATATATGTATATACATCTTGGGAGTGCAAAGAAAGAATCGTGATGATTTATACTCAATAAACTAAACAAAAAAATTGCCTAGATAAATCTCTTTATTGTTCTATGTTGTTAGAAAAAGCACAAAAGAACGTTTTAAGCCAAAAACATCGTAAAAGTGTCTAGTAGTCGAGCGAAGAAAATTGCTCTGTCACCGTACTTCTTTAAGCAGAAGGCTGTTGTTATGATAGTCTTCAACATAAAAATATAAGTAATAAATCTAATAAAAATGTTATAAAATAATCATATCTTTATTACTTTTATTAAAAAAAACTAATATTCCTTCTGTACATTAAAAAGTCTATTTAAAATATATATATATATGTTTATTTAAAAATACGCTAGTCGCGTTTTCTCGTAGCGTAAATTTCCATATAATCAATGATGAAGATTAGAAATTACGTTTAATATTATCCATGCATTAATGCTGTAATGACTAATTGTACATGATAAAAGTTTCGTAACGGATGGCATTGCTATATAAATTCTTATTATAATAATAAAATGATTATTTAATAGCACATGTCACATCTACCAATTGACGCATGTTCGATGCGTAGGAGTTTGATCCTATACAGTTTAACCATTTGTGAAGCGTAGTAAAAGTTTGTGAAAGGAAGAAAGCCGATATTACTATACAACATTTAATGTAGTGGAAGTTAGTACTGGCTTCAAACGAGCTAGCGGATGTTAAAGAATTGACGTGTTCACCTTATGAACTGGACTTTTCTTGTCTATTAAACGTTGTTTATTACTTTCATTGTTTTAAATTTAAAAACAAAAGAAATGCTAATGTTTTCTTACTAATAACTAATTCAATTATNAGAAGACATAAAGATGTAATTTCATTTTCTGGAATTTTTCACAGGAAATAAAAATCTATAACTTTATATTACTGTAATTTGTTTTATTTAAAAATACGCTAGTCGCGTTTTCTCGTAGCGTAAATTTCCATATAATCAATGATGAAGATTAGAAATTACGTTTAATATTATCCATGCATTAATGCTGTAATGACTAATTGTACATGATAAAAGTTTCGTAACGGATGGCATTGCTATATAAATTCTTATTATAATAATAAAATGATTATTTAATAGCACATGTCACATCTACCAATTGACGCATGTTCGATGCGTAGGAGTTTGATCCTATACAGTTTAACCATTTGTGAAGCGTAGTAAAAGTTTGTGAAAGGAAGAAAGCCGATATTACTATACAACATTTAATGTAGTGGAAGTTAGTACTGGCTTCAAACGAGCTAGCGGATGTTAAAGAATTGACGTGTTCACCTTATGAACTGGACTTTTCTTGTCTATTAAACGTTGTTTATTACTTTCATTGTTTTAAATTTAAAAACAAAAGAAATGCTAATGTTTTCTTACTAATAACTAATTCAATTATTTATCGAAAAATTTAAAAAAGAAATAGATGTAAAATTGTCAAATGTGTAAACTAGATGAAATATTTTTGTATATAATTTTGACTCATAAGATTTAACTCGCTATTTTTTATTATAAGACTTAGAAAAGCGTGTTAGTAATTCTTTTTCTTTTATAGATAACAAAAAGAGGATGTTCTTTGAGAGAAGAACTACAAAAAAAAAAAAAAAAAAAAAAAAAAAAAAAAAAAAAAAAAAAAAAAAAAAAAAAAAAAAAAAAAAAAAAAAAAAAAAAAAAAAAAAAAAAAAAAAAAAAAAAAAAAAAAAAAAAAAAAAAAAAAAAAAAAAAAAAAAAAAAAAAAAAAAAAAAAAAAAAAAAAAAAAAAAAAAAAAAAAAAAAAAAAAAAAAAAAAAAAAAAAAAAAAAAAAAAAAAAAAAAAAAAAAAAAAAAAAAAAAAAAAAAAAAAAAAAAAAAAAAAAAAAAAAAAAAAAAAAAAAAAAAAAAAAAAAAAAAAAAAAAAAAAAAAAAAAAAAAAAAAAAAAAAAAAAAAAAAAAAAAAAAAAAAAAAAAAAAAAAAAAAAAAAAAAAAAAAAAAAAAAAAAAAAAAAAAAAAAANATATTTGAAATTTATTTATTTATTTTTATTAATTAATTTAAAAGTAATGAATTTATATTATTTAAAAAAAATCCACAGTTTTCTGTGAAAAAAGTTCATTTAAAAATATTGCTTTTATAAATGTTAAAATAATAAATTAAAGCTTTTATAGTTATAATTAGCTTTGAATCTCTAGTAATTAATTTTTATAATAATTTTTAACGACAAAATTGAGTGATTTTCCTACTTTTTACATAGAAAAATATAAAGTAAATCATCTTAAATAATACTTTTTAAAGAAAATTATGGATCTTCTTGTTTAATATTTTTGTTTAAAAATTGAATTATTTATAATTATCATTAATTAAGATTTTCCTAGTTTAATACAGTCTTTTAATAACAGTGAATCTACATTTACAGTTTCTGTATTAAAAAAAAAACTGTTCTATGTTTTCGTTTAATATATAGACTACTTTTAACAGAAACATAGAAATAATAAATATTTTTTTTAACTTTACAAAAAAATAACAGACTATAAATTATCTAATTTTAATGAAATTTAGAGTAAAGACTTGTAAAATATTAAATATAAAATCGACTCTTAGTAAATGTATATAATAAGAAACTGTGAAAACATTCATAATAATTTAAATAGACGAATCTTTTATTATATTTTTATTATTTATTTTTTAATTATAGTAATCGTTTTACTCGTCTTATATTTCTCGAAATAAGTTAGTATAGATGGAAAAATATTTTTTAAATAAAAAAAAAACTTAATATTCTTAAAAAAATAACTTACAATAAATGAAATTTTTAAAATATTTCTTTTATTTAATTTGTAGTAATAATTCTTTTTCTATTCCTTTATATTACGCGATCGTTCTTAAGCAAAAACATTCAACCACGTCACATGTCACTGTTATATTTTTCTTTACATCCAAGAAGTTTATTAGATCCACCTACATTCTTTCATTTCATTGGATAAAATAAGATTTGGGGGTCATGTGATGTTCTTTCAAAACTTTTTAACTACTTTGCTTCTAATTCCAAGAAGTCTTTCTCGGCTTTTGCTGCCGAAAGCAGAAAAGAAGTCGTTAAATTTAACAGTAAATGCGAACTATCCATTCTACCTGTCTTACTTTTTTAAGAATATATTTATCCACATTCAAGGATTCTTTCTAGCATACTGAATAAAAGTATAAGTATTTATTTATTTATTTAATAAGTATTTCATTATCAACTTTGTTCCAATCTGTAAGAATATTAAGACATCAACAAACTCTCGATGGAATTAAAGCAAAGCTTTCTTTGTAAACTTTAGAATAATGATTATCTCTTCATTAAAAGAGATTTAATGTTAAAATAAATTACCCTTTCTTAAGCAAAAGTGATTTTTAATATAAAGCAATGACTTGTTTCGACTGACTTTAAGGAATAAAATTATTTAATTTTCAATGTTTATCTCTTTATTCATTAAAGTCTATTATTTGGTGTTGTTTAATGGCTATTTGAGCGTAGCTAACAACCTCAATGAGTCTTTTATATGACCTCGTATATTATCAAATAGCAATATCTAAGAAACTTATGACTGTAATCTTATTTTGATTTGAAGCTTCAAAATTACTCAATGATATCATCTACTCTTTTTTATATATATAATAACCAACAAACTGTATATTCTATCTTCCTCTTTTCATTTTGAAAGTTGATCTATATATATTCTTGTCTATTTATATGTTATTCCTTGAAAGCAAAAAGTAAAAAGTCTACTAGCATTCAAAATATTAGCTTCTGTTACATCATAAATTAAGTTTTAAATCAATATCTAATCAATGAAGCCATTTTAATTGCACTATTAAATCTATAACTTTGAGAATAATTAATTTCTAAAACTGCATGCGACTATTTAGATTCAAGTTTAATCTTTTTTTAATATTTAAAATGCTTAATTTATTAATTACATTTTTATAAAATTATTAAATATATATAAAAGTTTATATGATGTTATAATAGATTACAATGTTTTTCATTTAGTAGTGCAAAATAAATCATATAAATTATAGAAATTAAACGAAAATTGAAGGGGAAAATATATAAAATATATAAAAGTAATATAATTTTAAATAAAATTTAAAATATGAAGCTAAATTGTATATTTGAAACGTTGTGATACAGTACAAAATATGATTAAGTAGTTTCCATCATATTCTAGAAAGATTGATATGAATTTATTCGACATTCGATTTAAGTTAAGGATTAGACATAGTTTCGAATTTCAGAAAAAGATTGATTGGAAAATATTTCAAATCGTCAAAGGAAAAAAAATGATTCTTTTATGAAAATGTTGAAAAATAATTAATTTTATTTTTAGTACAATTATAAGAATGTTGTCCTTAAATTCAGCTTAAAAACAATTTTTTTAAATGTTTTTAATAAGAATAATTTACATATTTAGTTTCATAATTGTAAGAATAATTTATAATTATTATTTAAAATTGAGAAATTAAATGATAAAAATCAGTTTTTTTTTACATATTAAAATCGTGAAAATGCTCATAATTCATCATGCCAATCAATCATTACGAAAATATAAAAATATTAAGAGCATTTATGAATAATTTAACTATTAAAATTAATTTTTATGAGAAAATCAAAAACTTTTCTTTAAAAAAAATCCTGCTATTTATCTTCGTTTTAAAACATTTAAAACTTTATAAATATTTATTTTATAATGTGTAAAACTTGTTAAACCTTCGTCCATCGTTACATAATATTGTATTTGATCAATTTATTTAATACCCTCTTAAAATTATGTAAGTGGAATTACTTGAATATTTCTAAATTTAACTAAAAATTGAAAAAAATTAAAAAATGATTTCACTTAAATACCAAAATATGTCTTAAGATTAAAACTTCCCCTAATTCCGTATTCAAATTATTATCATTGGCTTCTTTAAATGTATTGAAGGGGGAGAAGAGAAGGAGAGAGAGAGGGGGGAAAGATTATATTCTATTATGAAATAAAAACTATTTAAAAATTCATACTCCTCCTTCCCTGACCATTAATATAAATTTACGGCATATCAAAGATTCTAATATATTATAAAAATAGAAATTGTGGAGCAGGGAAAAAAAATAAAATAGTTTAGTAGGCAGAAAAGTGTCTATCGTTCAACATTGGCAACTTTCCGAAAAATGGAATATATATATATTTTTTTATTTTTCATTTTTTA